AAGTACTACCCGTAAAAGTTTATAATCAGGTAAGTCTATTTTATTAAAATGGAATGTGAAAAATGCACAGTCTGAAGGTTACTCTGCTCGGTCATCCTTTTGAATTAGGCACACATCTGTCTTCCTATGTTTTGTCCTACAAGAAAATGCAAGATGTGTAGATTTAAATTGAGCTTGGCTTTGAGTTCTGACTGTTCAGAGAAGAACTCATGCAATGGTTTCCCTAGCAAAGGTTCAATTTATGCTGCAGAAGAGACTCGTATGCTAATAAACTGATATTGACAAGTGTGATGGATGCAACTAGGTACTTACTGAGTGCTGGAGAGCAAAGTTGATTGCATTTTACAGTCTGTATATTTCTGTTTATTGCTTGTATTCTGTCATTAAGCAAACAGGTTCCTAATATAGCAAATCTCTCTCATCAGTAAAGCAAGGGAGAAAAGAACCAGAAGCATCATTAATTACAACCATTTGGCTGCAGCCTGGACAGTCTGTTGCTGTTGGATTGGGCAACTTCCTCTGGTTTTATTTTCTGGAGGTGTAACAGAAACTGGCTTTTCTTATGCATGGGGCAGAGTAGAGAAATGTTCCATGCCCTGCTGGCTGACAGCTGCCTAAAAACCTGAGATTAAACACTGGCTTCTCTACAGAAATGGAGTCCTGGGGCGACAGAAGCCAGGCTCCATGTGGGTGCACTTCTAAGTCTTCAATCCTATAAATGGAGCAAGTGTGCTGTTCCAAAACCTGACCTGTCCTTGAGGCTCATGGAGGTTCCACAGTCGGTAGAACTCACGTGTGCATGCAGTGGCCCATGAGTGGGCTCCGCTGAGAGCTATGAATTGTGTGTGTGCCTGTGTGTCCTGTACAGGAAAGCGATTGCCACCGTGGCAGACTTTCCAAATGCTAATCACAGGGGTATAAAGCAGGAGAGTCATTGTTCTGACTCCAGGTAACAGAGGTTAACAGCATCTAATGCACTGATTAACCCTCTGGTGCCAGGGATGGCGAGGTCTGGGCCCTCAATCACAGTGCCGAGGAAATTCTATTACCTTACGTGCCTGCACTTGCGGATTACCAGCAGTGACAATTTTATAACACTGCTGGAGGGACAAGGCTTATAAAATGCCTGAAGAACAGGTTCCCTGGTTTTCCAGAATGACCTTAAGGCTACTGGGTTGAAGACAGGCTTCTCCGGTGCCCTTTGCATCTCCCCATTCTCAAGATGGAAATCTCGGGGTACTGTGTTTTGGGGATGGTGTTGCTCCCGACTCAGAGTCAGGAGCCTTTGCCCATAACTGTGTAATTATGAATCAGCTGTTACAAAACATAAAAGAGGTTAAATAATTCATTCTCAGCATGCTGTCACAATGGTTAAAATTGACTTTTAGAAAATGAAATCCATTCCCATCTTCTTTATCCCTCTCTCTTTTTAAAGAGGTAACATGTTTTAAAGCCACATGCTGTAAAGTTTCGTGTTTAGATAGGCCCAGGCTGGCCAGGTTGTGTGTTGGGTCCCTGCCTTTCCCATTAATGAGCAGGGCTGCAGGGCCGCAGGGCCTGCAGAGAGGACCTTGAGTGCTGTGCCAGCACTTCCATTATTACTTATACTCGTGGTACTGGTTTAGAACTCAGTGATAAAAGGTGCTCTTCCAGTCTAACTTACCTTATATCTTACAAGGTCTCAGAAAATATTTTTTAACTTTCCTGGGACCATCCCAATTTTTATCAACTGAGACAGTGTTTAAAGCATGTAGGCCCTTTTCGCAATAGTTCAAAGTGGAGGACGTCCTGTAATTTGATGTGTTTGCATTTATCATACCTGACTGGCAAGACAATGATAGCATGATGGTGTTTTCAGAAATGTTCAAGATAAAAGCCTTTAAAATGTGGAAATAACAGGGTGCTCAGGCTTCTAAAATGGGCTTTAAAAGCAAGATTTTCTTAAGTGGACTCTGGATCTGCAGAGGTAGATTTCTGACCCTGAGTGGTCATCGGAGGGGTTCTGAGCACACCTAGGACTTACAAGCATGCACCAGCTAGACATACACAGGTCTAAATTCCAAGGCTCTGCCCCTCCATCTGCAGCTTTCAAATTCTTAGAGGCCCTGGATTCCTCTAAGTGTGACAATACTCCACCTGTGGGGGATGCCATTCAGTCTAGGCAGCAGACCCACTGGTCCTCATCTCACAATATGCCCCTCAGGTTTGGTGTGGAATTTTAAAAGCTATCATGTCTGTGTGCATTATTTTGATTGTGTCACCTAGGTGCCACCTGCCATTCTGATAACCAGTGACTTCAGTCCTTCACCTAATCAGACTCACAGAGCTCACTGTGGTCTAGGCTGGTTTTGATGGTATTCCAGGGCTGCTCTGCTCTGCCTCTGCTGTCAGGGGACTTTCCACTGGCACCCAGGTCTCTTGGTAGAAAGCTGTGTTAATATACTATGTAAGCAAAGCATTTAAAGGCCTGTGTGTATGGACTGCTAAGCCTCTGGAGCACTAAGTACTTCTGGCGGGTGGGAAGGTGTTCAGCAGGAGAGAAGGCATTTTCTTGGCACATCTACAGGGGCCTGGTGGCACATTACTACTACTACTCAGCACTTCATCCAGTTACCCCAACGAGAATGATCCTAGTTTTAGTGAAGCCAATGGGACTGCAAGGCCAGAAGGTGACTGTTGCCTTAATATAAAGGCCATCAAGATGCCTGAATTGAGGGAAAAGGAGCCCAGAGACTTCACAGACTCCAAGCTGGTCTAAGTGTATTTTCCTGGGTGATGAAATAGTTATGCCAGTCATTCCCAGATGAGGGCCTGATTGTCTGCCTATAATCCTGTATGCAAGGTGAACCCCTCAGTGATTAAGGAGGGTTAGCAATCTACCTATGTGGTTCTAGAATCCACTCAGGAAAACCTGTTGTGATAAAAGACTTCTTCTCCATTGGCAGAAGCCCCTTTGCAATCATTTAATAATGGTGGGTGTTACACTCATTTCAGTAGGTTCCTGAAGTGATGAGGAAGCATAACTGGTGAGTATCTTTGTGTACACAAAGAGTAAAACACTGCATGCAGGCGCTAATCATACAAGAACAGTAACGGAAGGTGGTCCTCCCAGCCCTTAGGACTCAGCACTCTTGGGCTTTGAGGCATAGTTTGGCTGTGGCCACAAGCACAGAAACAACTTGAAGGCGTAATGTGTCCCAGACTAGAAGTCAGGCTGCCTTCTGTGCACATTTCCGTGAACTCCTTAGTTATACAAAGGCCCTTAGGAAGGGTTTATGTCTTTTGTAGATTATGGCCCAGAAAAGAAAAGACAGAATGTGATATTTTAAGGCCATTTTGGTGGCTGGGCACAATTCCAGTCTTGAACGGAAATAAAACATGTGAAGTTCTATGCATTATTCTCTGCAGGTAACAATGCGATGAAACAGATTTGCTATTAATATAGATTAAGAGTAGACTTTTGAGTAAGGTTCAATTCCTCTTCCAATTTCCCCTCTGAGCTTCTTATATATAACATTTAGTGACCTTTGAAGAGCCCAGGGATGCTCTGCAGTGTCTAATTCTTGATGGCTGTTAAAGGTTTCTATTTCATATTCACAGCTGACATATGCAAATATAGGTAAAGATTATGATGCCTCCCAAGTAGCATTATGGCCAATAAATTACTCCTTGGGTGAACATGCTATCATTGCAGCCAAGCATGTCTTCAACGAGTTGCAAAAGTCTTCCTGCAACAAGCAGGCAGTTTGCTGATGCCATTCACACAGAACTGGTTGGCCAGATACTCCTTGGTGCAGGTGTGATGCTGGACCAGGGGCATCCTGTTGGCAAGTGAGCTCTTGCTCTGTGTGATGGTACCAGCAGGCATGGGGAGGTTCCTTGTGTGGATTCGGGGGTGGGTAGGGCATGGAGTCAAGCACACCGGGATTACCTGAGAGAAGCACTGTAACACAGGAAAAAGCACATTTTAATTCAAGAATTTTAGAGACCTGCTCTATATCCTGACTCTACAAGTAAATCACCGTGTGACCTTGGACAAGTCACTTAGCCTCTCAGCAATCCAGTGTTTTCCTTCACAAAACAAGAGGATGGTACTGAGTCAGTGGTTTTAATTATAACTGTTGAGCAATGGAACCTTGACTTCACTCAGTTCCCAGGTAGATGCCCAGTGGAGATATGTGCCAGTTGCAAGGAAATAGGGATCTTAAAGCCTTCCCGGCTCAGCCCCCTTGCATCTGCCCTGGAGGCGGTTTTAAGGTTGCGGGATGCCTCACACCATTTCTCTAGGGGGCCGTCTGCAAGAGTTCCTGCCCTAGCACCTTAGCTCCCAGGCGGTGAGTGGCTTACTCAGGAGAAGGCAGCCCACGAGCCCAGTAGCTCCCTCTGTTTGGTATGCCCAGCAGCAGAAAATGGCCTGGTAACTGTTTGTTGACTGGAGCACCGAATAAATGAATGAACAAGCAGTTTCAGGAAGTTCCTAATACATGGGGATTTTTATTGCAACATTTTTACCTTGAAGGCATCTCCCCAAAATTAGCATTCAGAAATATGAACGAGCTCAAACTAGAAAAGGCTTCGAAGCTTTGTCTTTAGTAACCTATTCGTGTACTGGCCCTACTAGCCACTAGCCACATGGCTATTGAGCCTTTGAAATGGGACAGGCCCGAATTGAGACATATTATGGCAAATGCACCAAATTTCGAGGACTTAATGTGAAGAAAAAGAATATAAAGTACTTCATTAATAACTTCTTATATTGATTACCTGTTGAAATGGGAATAGGTTAAATAAAATATTCTTAATGTTATCTTCATCTGTTATCTCTTTACTCACATGGTTACTAGAAAATTTTAAATTATATATGGGGCTCACAGCTGTGCCTCATACATCTGTGAGTGGCACTGCCCTGGACAATTGATTAAGGAATTGTCAGTAGTTACTCTTCCGTATTATGTCTGAGTGACTTTGTGTATATATGGGTGTGTTTTATCTTTCTCCAGGCACAGAAGCTGAAATCAAATGTGTCGGGCAGCACACACCTCTGTCTTTCTGATGTAAGTTATCTTTCTTCCTAGGTTTCTTTCTCCCTGTATTTCTGGAGACAGAGCCTTTGGGCTCCTGGGGCAGGAGATGATGTGAAGGGCTCAAAGACAGGAAGGGTTCAGGTCCAGAAACGATGCAAGGCACCCTCCATGCTCCCCTGCCCTTTGAGCAAAGTGCAGTCTTTGGATCTCAGTGCACGAAGTTAGAATTAAGTGTGGACCAGGGATTCTCATGTCAGAAGTGGACCAGCACACACATCACTGCTCCAGTGCCATGAGACTGTGATCACAGTCAAGTAACATCACCCAGCACAGAGAAGATGCTTACCAGATGCCCTCTGTGTACAGTCCCTTTGACCTCCACAGCAACCTGGAGGTAGCTAGGGCAGGCCACCTCACTCTCCCCAATTTACAGGGGAGGGACTGCATGATTGGGTCACATGCCAATCATAGCTCACTGTGGCCGGATGCGGCATGATGGGATTAAGCAGGTGCTGGGGTTGGGGTGGAGGCATCAGTCCTGGGGAAGTGCTGACTGGGCATCCAGAAGCCTGGTTTCTGGTTCAGGCTGTCCCATAGGTGAGCTGGACAGGCCCCGTCACCTATAAAATCTCAGCTGAACTGGCTGACGGAGGAAGAGCCCGCTGGCTGCTGTGCTGGAATCATAATGCATCTCTGCATGAGCCAGTACCTGCCTGGGCTGGTTTTCTGAGATGATTCTTCCTGCCTTCATTCTGTGATGAGAGACAGCAGCCATTCCTCCTCAGTCGGTGGTACCCGGAGGGAGAGGCCTTCCATGTCCCACAGCTATAGGGGGTCCCAGGAGTGGGAGTGAAGAACGGCTGGGATACTGGGGCCCAAAGCTCAAATCCCTGAGTGAATTTTAATAATCCACAGTGGAGGAGCAAGAAGTAACTGTTGGCAGTCTATCAGAAGTGTCTAGTTCTCCCCCAGATTTATGGTCCCGGCCCATAAAACTACACATCTCAGTGGTCAAATCTTGTGCCAGCTTTAGTGAGTCGTACAGCTAGTTGGAGATAGGGGATGGGAGAGAGAAAAGGTATGTTTAAAATATACTGTTATAGCACGAATGCATGCGGTGGGTGATAATGAAAATATTCTTTCTTACAGCGTGATTATGAAAAGGATGGTCTCTCTGGTGCTTCTAGCCACATAACCACAAAATCAATGGCTGCTCCTCCAAGCTGTGGTCTGAGCCCACTGCTGGTCCTGGCGGTAACCACCCTGTCCACCTTATTATCTGTATCTTTGGCAGAAACATTGTAGCTGCATTTAAAAACAATATGGACATGTAAAAAGACAAAAACCAAGTTATCTGTTTCCTGTCCTCTTATATATCTGAAATTCCACTTTTAGGAGCTCAGTTGAGACACTGCTAAAACAGTTTCATCCAACTGGAACTTTCTTTTCTTTTCTTTTCTTTTTTTAAGAAAGCTTCTTGTGATCCTTAGGGCTTCTATTGGCTACCTGATGCAGTGCTACATTCCAAGCTCAAAGGCTTTGGGGCCTGCTGTGTTGTGAAGGGACCCCTGGTAAATTCTGGCTGTAAAGCAAACGAGGGCCATGTTTTTCATGATGATGATGACGATTTTAACAATTGAACTCTGGCCTTTACCAGCTAGAGAAGGACTCAGTGTTTCTAAAGAATCTTCCATATCTCATGTAAGAGTTTTGGTTTCTGATGACCTAACAGCAGCCTAACCTGGATACCAGACTTCTTTTTTGTCATAATGCAAAGATTCCCATCAAGAGAATCGTGATGTACTTCACGCAAACACACCTGTACCGATGTTCACCTTTCTATATGTACTAGCATCTCCCACGCTAATGCTTATGTACTATAAACGGTTCTTCGCTCTCCTACAAAACAACAAACACCCATCACATCCAAATGTAGTGTCTGTCTTCTTGTCAGAACTGAGAGTAAGAGTGGGGTGTGAAACTTCACAAAACCTTCAACAGCACTTTCCTAAGCCTTACCTGAGTAAGAAGCCCTTAAACTAACGAGAGTCAAATTCAGCCGAAGTGTCACTCTAATACTCTTTCCATGTATGAGGTTATATGTAGAAAAAAATTTTACTACTAAATGGTTTCCACTATTGGCTTTCTATATTTTGGAAGTAATGGTACTGTCTTCATTTTTTACTGATGATTTAATACAAAATACTTGGAGCTTGTTTTCCTCTTAGAAGTAGTGTTGGCTCCAATATTAACTTCACAAACACAGCTCTTCAAAAGCAGGCTCTGAGGAGCTCCGTGCTTTAGCAGAAAGCGCCGCAGCACGTTACTGGGACAGGCAGGAGGAAGCGGAGCAGCCAAGCGTTGTCTTTTCTCATTTCAGTGCCACTGTGCATACCTGCAAGGACACCACAGCCCCTCGTTAATGTTCTGCAATGTCTAATGGCACACGTGCCAGGGGACGCAGTCAGTACCTTGGTTTTCATGTTACCTGACAAAGGCCGCTTTGAGGGGGAAGGGGCACAGGGATGTGCTTCCCTCTCTCCAAAGCAGACCTGTGCCAGGGTACACAGTCCCATCTCTAAGGGGTGTCTTTACTCCCAATTTGGATGGCTTGGCAGCTGTTTGGGCCGTTTGGTCATCACGAAGCTGCTTGCATCTTGTTCTCTGTCCTCAGTGACAGACTGGGACTGACTATGCAGAAAGAAAGGAGGTTGGGGATTGGGAGAGTCAGCAGTGGGGTCTGGGGAGGGGAGCTGGTGGGCACAGGTACACGGAACAGAACAAGACTCTGGATATAAGGCATCTGGCTTGTTCACCACGCTCAAGTTCCACAGTTTTTTCCTTAAAGAAATAGACTCTGAAGTACACTTTTGAAGTCTGAGTGAAATGGCATGACTCAGAATCTGCCGTGATCAAGTGCTAGTAGACATGTGTCTGCAGAGCTGAATAGAGGATAAGGGATTCCATCTTACAGGGTGCTGGGAGCATTGGTTTCTCCCCACATTAGTGGATGGGCTGGAGGAGGGAGCCCATGGTGCACGTACTGATCCCTTTTGCACGCTGAGGTTTGCCTTGTAAGGGTTAATCAAAGTCCTGGAATGGGGAATCTATTAAATCCAAGATAAAGGCATAGTCTTTTAGCTCTGTTGCTGTTTGAAGTACCTTTATATCCGAATGTGAATAAATATAAATGTATAATACCAATTACCAAGTTTTTTCACTTCAGAATGTTTTCAAGGGAAATTTGTCAAACAAATTTGATGAGTGAAAGGCTTCATAAAGACTCTTTGCATCAACACATTAAATGTGTGGAGATATTCGGAATTCCAGTCATCTATGAGAGCATATCTCTTAAAGAGCATATTTTATTTTAATTAAGGTATCTCTGTGTATCTACATTGGACTAATTGCATATGGGTCCAATTCTACGTGATCTACTCCAGAAAGCTATTGATCACTTCTGCAGTAAACAGCGACTCTAATTAGCTGCAGATGACCAAAGAGGAAATGGGACTTATCAAAGCTGACGGGTCGCCGTCCATGAACAACGTGGGGCTGTGCAACCCACAGATTAAATGTCAGAAAGCTTCATCTATCACCAACAAAGATGTCATTTTTCTTCAGAGATAGGAGCCTATTAGAGTTGCCAAATCCTAAATTTGGAAATAAATTGCTGATTCAATAAGCAGGGAGAAGGATGTTCAGTGACAACACAAGAGAGAGAGTCTTACACAATCCTGCCAGGCAAGGGTCTCTGCCATGCAGGGTGATCTCAGTGTAACACAGCGCCGGCCCTGAAACAATATCTTTTGCCCCACGACTGGAACAGCCCGGGCACAGGGAAGGCAGGGGGGCCTGGAACAGGACTTACCTCTTCTACCTGTCTGACTTCCTCCTGCAGGCTTAGAGCAGAATGACTCACCACTTGCTGTCCATCAATCCCTGCATTAAATGGACCAACAAATACAGGGGCCATTGTAGTTGATATTGATAAAACAAGAATAATAACTTATATCCACACAGATCATGACCCCTTGTTAAGTCTAGCCATGCCCTACTTATCTGAGAAAAAAAAAAAGGCATTGTTGCCAAACTGATTAGAAGCACATTCATTCCACTTTTGATGTTGAATATCTTTGACCAATATATGTTTGAGCATCTTTTTAATAGAGCACATGAAGGCAGAAGGGCACAATAAAGAGAGAGAATTCAGAATGTCACCTGAACAGTTATTTTTCCATATCTAATTTTTTTCAAGCCTCTAGTAGAAAAAGTATAAGTTGAGGATTACATAGTTTATTTTTCATTAAGCCTAGCAAACTGTATCTGAAGTGTGGAGTGTGGTTTCCATTTTTTAAAAAAAGAATTTTTTTTTAATAATGCTTGATCCTGTAGGAAAAAAAATGTCTTAGAAGCTGTGTCTTCGAGTTCATCAAATCTAGGACAAGGCCTTCCAGAGCTCCTGTGGCCTTTGATTTGGTCTATATTAAGATGGCTCCTATCATGCATGCACTCTGAGAACGGGTCATCTCCAGCTGCATCCCATTTCCCACCTGCCTCTTTGTACGTTAAATCAGACACTCCCAAACTCTCCATCTGCTGAACTAGGAGAACGGGAGAGCCAGAAACATCTTTGGATCAGTGAAAAGTGCTTCAGAAAAGAGATATCAGAGCAGTGGGAGTTGATATAATTAGCAAATTCTTTTCTTAGAATACAGCAAACATATATTTCTATTACTATTTACAAGATAGTGGCCTTGCAGGAGCCGTCTTTTGGAAAATATATTTTCATTCCTGTAGTCAGACATGCATGACTCATTTGAGTCAATAAACGGGGGGCCAGAAAATGGCTGCTTCAATGAATTCACATTTTCTAAGTCTCTTTCAGCACTGTCCTTGATCTCCCGGATTCACACCCCTGGGATCTTTGTTGCTTCTACTCTTTGGTAAAGCAAATGAGACCATATGAGACTCATCTTTTCAAGAAGACCAAAAAGCAGTGTCCACAGATGGGAGGGAATTACCAATAGCCCGGGCAGAGGGATGGCAGAGGGGCCTGTCTGCCCTAAACTCGGGAGCTGGGAGAGAGGAAGCAGAATCAAGACGGAACAGGAGGCCACGTGCCGTAGGTGCATGACTCGTCGTCTGCTCCTGGTCCTCGCTGATCCAAACAGGAACCTTGTCCTGCCGGAACAGCCAGAGTTCCTTCAATTAGACAGCAGGGGCTTTGTGGAGAGAAAGCCAGAGCTAAAATCTGGTGCACGGAGGAAGGAATTTCTTTTCAGAAATTCTAAAACATCTGGGAATTTAGTTGGAAACCCTTAGAAGCTACATTTTTCTCTTATATAGAGAGGTCTCTATAATCTAAACATGTCATGTAAAGAGCTGACACCTCCTGACTCAGACACCACGTTTCTTCTCACGTGACCATTTGTTTTAAGTCTATTTTTCATGAGGACTAAACCTCTGAAACTCGTTCTCAGTGCAGAGGCCTTAAACCTGTGGGTCTTGCCGCCGCCTGCACCCTTGGGTGTATGGGGTGGGGCATCTCACCGCACAAGGAGAGTTGTCCTAAGGTATCGGCAGGTTCCGTTCTCATTCGCATTGATTATTGATGCCTCCAGCTCCCACCCTTGCTACGTATCACCTATATGTTTAACCAGGGTCCCCCTCCCATCAATTTTTCATCCTCATCACTCTAAATTTAGTCCTACCCAAATTAATTCCTGTTCCATCAATTGCCCATTTTACACACACCCTGGGGTTTCTGAAGACAGAGAAGCCGCTTTCAGGAGCAGGTGATTTGAAAATGATGCTAACTCAACCCTCCCTCTTCTGAGCTCCCTCGTCTTAGCTTTGGGACCATCCTGTCTTCTGCATCCTCTCCTGGCATCCCTTTGCTGCTCGGGGGGCTCGCTAATGAGCTTCTCCCTCCCGAGGGCAACACGGGGTTGTTAAGCTGTCTGCGCCACCTGCACTTCTGATTGTTCTGAGACCCAGCCCAGAGGGGTGGGGAAGGCACACAAACCCTGCTTCAATAAACTGCCTGCAGAGAACTGCAGCCTGCTAACAGTCATCGAGGCCCCAGCCTCCTAGGGTCTGCAGGCTCATTTGACCAGCACAGCTGCGACTTCGGCTGTCTGCCTCTGGCAGGTGCCAATATCAGCATCTTGTCCCACTGCCATGGGGAGTTTATTTTTGCTCAAGGGCAGCTGCCAAGCCCAATACCAGCATCAATAGAAGGTTTTCTCTGATTTTCTTCTCTTCATCCCATGCTGGGCTTTCTTGCCAATCCCCATTTTCCTTTTGTAGAAAGCGCCAGAGACCATCAGCCCCTTGTTTCATTTTAACATCTTTTCCTGCTCACCCACACTTGCCTAATAGAAGGCATGACCCAGAGCAGATATTTAAACAATGCTGGGTAAATGAAACCTCCCAGGCACTGAAGGTCTTCATTCTTTAATACGGTAGCCAGAACTGGTCTGCCCGTATTGTCTTACCTGCATGAGCTGTTATACTTCGACCCTGAAGATGTCCTCCTGAGGTTATTGAGGGTGACCTTGGAGGAAGGGTTGAAAGGAAGCATTAGAACAAAGCAGCTTTAAATCTGCTCACTGTTTCCTGCTGAGAAAGTAAAAACTATCATTTGACCCCAGGAGGAGCTGAGCATGAGCAGCCAGTCCCAGAAAGAACAGGACTCAAAATGGTGCAGACTCATTTCATGGGAAATTAGCTAGTGAGTCTGCTGACATTTTAATCCACCTCAGGTGCAGGATGCTGGCAAGAAAGATGGACCATTCCTCCAGTCCAGACCAACCCCAGAGATGGCAACCCCTGTGCCAGCATCTTGAGAAGCCAACTTAGGTGCTTATCAATTTAGCACATTTATTGAATATCTACTCTCCAATTGAATGAGCCATCATGTGGATGAAGCTTCCCAAGGCATAATTTGAGAACATAGGGTCCTCTGGCAGCAGCTTAGGGGAACACCCTTCTTTTCCAGATTGACAGAATCCTTCTCTTTGACATCCTTTGGAGAATATGAATTTTCTTTATAAGTAGTCTGTGAAGCTGTTTTCCAGACCATCTCTAAGAGGTAAGCCCCAGTTCATATGCATGTAACAACTCACTGGGCTCAACCATGTGGAGAAGGCAGACACACCCAGCCTAAGTCAGAGCCCAAAAGGGGGGTCGCCCTCTGAACCTCAAAGGGCTGTGAGCATGGCCAGGTGGGCATGCCAGTGAAGCTGTCCCAGCCATCAGGTACCAGCCATTGGTACAGATGGGGATAGGAGACACCAACGCTACTTTAGCCAAAGAAAACAAACAGCAGTGCTCATTCAAAATAGCAAAACTGAACGTACACAAAGACCCCAGTGCCTGTCAAATATAACGGAGGTCATCAGACTACAGTATAATGAAGAATTGGAAAATGCAATGGATGCCCTGGTACAGGAAACACAGGGCTACTACAAGTGGGTAAGGGTCTGGCCCTGGGCCTGGGCAGGAGATCTGTCCCAGGTACAGGTGAAAGCACCTCAGGCTTCATTGATGAGGCTGCCCCACTTTGTGTCGCAATGGCTGCAGGGCCGTGAGATCCAGCATCATCTTGCTGGCATGCAAAGCGTGCGTGATCTAGAATTTGTTTTTTGCTTTTTTTTTTTTTTTAGCTTTAGCTGAAGGCATTCCTGAAATGTGGGGAAAAAAGAGAATGGAATCCATAGATCCCGGTCAGAGATTGCCCTGCGTTATCTGGCTGTGGTCTTAGAGTAAGCAGACATTTCTGAGGTGCTTTTCTGGATTCAGAAATAGCTGATTGTCCTCAGAGAATTGAAGAAATGGTTTCAGAAACCTGAAATCCAGGGCCTCATAGTTCTCCTCATTATCTGTCTTTTCTCTCTTTCCCCCCTAAGGGCTGGTGGGGGGAACACTGCTCACCACAGAATTTGCTTTAAAGAGTTTTCTCATGTCCTGTGCATTATGCCTTGATATTGAAATTATTTTCTCCTGTTTAATCCACCTCCTGCTGAGAAGCTGTGTGAGATTTAGGATGTAGGATTCTTTTTGTTGTACTCTTTCGGATGGTGTTACATTTTTATTCTTAACCCGAGGGTATGTCTCAGTTTATGTGCATGCAGGCTAACAATACAGGTGGAATAGAGTAAGGATTCTGGGGTTTAGGAGAGTTTGAGAATTCTGT